CCCTATGCCAATAATTGGAGAACCATTTTACAGAGTGGGCATTGACATAGTGGGTCCTCTTTGTAAACCAAGCAGACGTGGTTACCGATACATTTTAACCATGATTGACTACGCCACAAGATATCCAGAGGCTGTAGCTCTAACTAACATCGAGACAACAACGATTGCAAATGCACTGTTATCCATTTGGGGAAGAACTGGTTATCCTAGAGAATTGGTTTCAGATTTGGGAACCCAATTCACTTCCAGACTTATGTCGAAATTGCTTGAGTTATGTGGTATCAGACACCTGACTTCAACAGCTTATCATCCACAGACAAATGGACTAGTTGAAAATATGAACAAGACTTTAGTCAAAATGATAAAGTCTTACAGTCAAGAGAAGCCATACGACTGGGACGTCAAATTGCAACAACTGTTATTCGCCTACAGGACCGTCCCTCATGACAGTACTGGCTACAGTCCATTTGAATTGCTATATGGAAGGAAAGCTCATGGTCCATTAGACCTGATAAAGGAATATTGGGAGGAAAGTCCGGCAACAGATCCAGTTCCAGTGTCGGAGTATTTAAAGGATCTTCAATCAACAATGCAACTGGCTAGGGACATTGCACAAGAACATTTGCTTGCGGCTCAGCAGAGACAAAAAGACTATTATGATTCTACTGCTAAACCAAAGATCTTCAACATCGGAGATGAAGTTTTATTTTTATCTCCCAACAAAACCAACAAACTTCAATTGGATTGGTCGGGACCCTGGAAGATCATCAGAAAACACAACCAAATAAACTATGATATTTATGATGAACATTCCAATGTAGAAAGAAGAGTCCATATAAACATGTTAAAGCCTTATGTTGAAAGGTCTGCTAATGTATGTTTTGTTGTTTCGGAGGAAGAATCCGGTCCCTTTTCTTTTTGGGAGGGTGATCGTGAACAGTACAAAAATTTGGATCGGGTAGAAATGAACATAGAATTGTCCCAACCACAGAGAAGAGAGGTTGTGAAAGTTTTGAGTAAATATAAAGACATATTTTCAGATTTGCCAGGAAAGGTCCAGGGAGTCCAGCATCAAATAAACACCGGTGATGCAACTCCCATAGTATCTCCACCCTACAGGGTCACGGGGAGAATTAATGAGTGTATTGAAAAGGAGATTAAAGAAATGTTGGACCTAGGTATTATTGTTCCATCAGTTAGCTCTTGGGCTTCACCCATAGTGTTGGTACAGAAGCCAGACAAGACAATTAGATTTTGCGTGGATTATAGGCGGTTAAATAAAGTAACCCAGACAGATACTTACCCTATGCCACGTTTAGACGATCTGCTAGAAAGGATGGGGAAGGCCAACTTTATTAGTAGTATAGATCTGACTAAAGGATTCTGGCAAGTGCCCATGGCACCACAGGATCGACACAAAACCGCCTTCCGAACCCAAAGTCGGTTATTTGAATTTTCTGTCCTCCCTTTTGGGCTAAAAAATAGCCCAGCCACATTTCAGAGATTAGTAGACAGTGTTTTAAGTGGGCTGGGGTCTTTTTGCGTGGCCTATATCGATGATATAGGGATTTTCAGCGATTCCTGGGAAGCTCACCTTGAACATTTGGATCTGGTGTTAAGCAGGTTGAGAGAAGCAGGGTTAACTATTAAGGCTTCTAAGTGTAAGATAGGATACAATGTTACTAAGTATTTAGGACATTTAGTGGGAGGAGGTCATATTCGACCTGACCCTACTAAAGTGGCAGTTATTCACCAGTGGCCAGTGCCCAAAACGAAAAAACAGGTTAGGGCATTCCTTGGATTGGCTGGATACTATCGCAAATTTATCCCATCTTTTAGTAATTTGGCGGCCCCTCTTTCGGATCTTACCAAAAAGAAGAACCCGAACCAGGTAATTTGGACTCCAAATTGTCAAACTGCCATGGATCAATTGAAGAAATCAATTACATCGGAAAGTTTCAGGTTTCAAGCACTTTATTAGGGAAAGATACAAAGTCAAAGGAGAGGGGAAGTTACCTGGAGTTGCAGGCATTCCTGGTCTTGGAGCTAGCAGCTGGGGCGCATTCCATCTGCTGGCCTCAAAGCTTGGCCCAGGAACTGCGGAACTCCCTGCTGCAGTTCACACTAATGTAAAGGCGGGGCTACAAGATGCGCTCGCCGTCAGGAGGAAGAAAGAAGAACTCTTCTCTGTTTCCATTGACCACCTTCGTTACCATTGAATGGCCTTGCAGGTCCAAAGCCTGGCTGCTTCCTGCCTGGCTTCCCACAGTTATATTAACCCCATTTGCCTGCTTTCCCACAGGCCTCACCCCTCCGAGGATGCCTGCCATAGAGAGGTGTGGGCGGGAATGCTTCTGGAACATGGCCACGCAGCCCGGAAGACTCACAGCAACACAGAGATTCCGGCCATGAAAGCCTTCAGCTACAAAATGCAGAATATCAATAGTTGTTAGTGTGAAATCTCAGTGAATGCCAAACCCAGAGACTCCGTGGCCAGGACTGGGATTTCCTCTGGATGAGAAGAGGCCTCTCCCTTTCCAGGAGACCTTCTCTCGTGGCCTGGCCAGGCTCTGAGTGCTCAGGAGGCGAGGAAGGGGATGCGGGGAGAGACCCAGGGCACAGAGTTCCACCATTTGGAAGCCCCCGAAAGCCTCAGGAGATACCTGGCAAGGGAACCCCAAACCTTTCACAAATTTATTGAATTATATTTTGGGGTGTGCTGTATTCCTAGTGTCTCAAATGTATGGTGAAGGCCCCTGGTCCCCTTCCCTTCTATGTACATCCAACCCTGGGAACGGAGAGTCCTCTACCCTCAGTAAACCTCCCTCTAGCGATCTCCCAGCCTAGACATGGAATCCCTCTTGTGTGAGAGTGACAGATAGACAATCCCTTTATCAGTTGGGCTGTTTTGCACTCTTTACCTGGCCAGGTGTGTCCAGAGGTCTAGGATTCCCACAGATGCAAAGGCTAAGCAAAGGTGAATAAATGAGCCTTTTGAGTGGATACCCGGCCCTCTGGCTCTGTGGCATGATCACCTTTTGTGTTCTGTGCCTGGCACTGTTGCCTTCTTCGGAATGAGACATTAAGTCAATCAGGGAATCACCTGCACACCCAC